TTTTTTTTTTACTCACCAAGGCTGTATTTGTTTGATCAAAAATACAGTAATATTGTGAAACATCACTACTATTAAAAATTTTTATATATTAAAATGTAATTTATTCCTGTGATGTTAAAGTTGAATTATGATTCACTATGAACTACGATACAGCATTTATTTCAGGATTCTTTGATGACTAGAAAGTTAAAAAGAGCAGCATTTATTTGAAATATAATTTTTTAACATTAAAAATGTCTGTACTGTCATCGTCTTCATGAGTCCTTGCTGAATAAAAGTATTAATACTTTTCAAAAAAAATACTGACCACAAACTTTTGAACACTACTGTATATTTAAATTACAGGATGTAACTATTGTTTTAAAACATATCTGCTTTCTTGTCTACACTCACCTTGATTAAGCTGTCCAAATTCAGAGTGAAAAACCCCAACTGCGTGGGCGTATCCTGATCCTGTGTGGGTGCCCACTGCTGCCTGAAACGCCCTGCCCCACACCGCCAGACCGCCAGGCTTCATCTGGAAGGTTGCCAGCTCCAAAACTCCTACAGAAAAAAAATCAATTCACCTATGAAGAATTTCAGTCAGGTTTCAGGCCCCACCATAGCACAGAAACTGCACTTGTTAAAATGACAAATGACTTGCTTCTTGCGTCAGACCAAGGCTGTATCTCATTGCTAGTTTTACTTGATCTTAGTGCTGCGTTCGACACTATAGATCATGACATACTCATAGATCGATTACAAAACTATACAAAGCATTTGAAATATGTGTCTTTGTTTTGTGAACAATTTATGAATGTTTATGCATGTCTGGTACTGGCAGAAGGGGGAAAACCTCTGAAAACAGTCCTTAGGGTCAAACAATAAGTTGTTAAAAATATATATATATTTTTCTTTGCTTATGTCTTATATCGCTTACAGCACCATGTGAGCATGCATTGGTATAGCATACATTCTCACCTCCATCTTTGGGTGGCTTCTGAATTTTGCTCCAGGGTACGAGGTACGTCACCTCATTATCCTGAGAGCTCAGCATGAGCATCGCTTTAGAGATGTACTGCTCGATCCATTTGGGGTCTTGAGCCAGGGCTGCCCACACAGATACCCGCTGGGCATAGCTGTCTATTACAGCAAAGACAGAAAGGAATGTTTCTTATGGAGTAGTATGTGAGCTGCATTGTGTTTTTAGACATTTTAAATAAAATAAATACATATTATCTTAGTAAGATTACTTGTTTTCTGTATTAACGCTAAGAGAGGATTTTATTTTTACTGAAAATGCTTGTTAATGTTATCACAAAACTTACTGACTCTGCTCACACAGGGAATAACAACTTCCCCCCAAAAAATATAATTTTTGTATTTCTTTATTTATTTATATGTATGTATTTATTTATTTATTCATCTTGAAGACTTGTGGTATTACCAGTAAAAAAATGACCGGCCTACAGAAAATTGCTATTACTATTATTACCAAACACTAGATTCAGTCTTTTTTATCAACTTGTTTCCTTTCAATTAGCATAGACTTTGTTTTTCTTTCTGGAACTGATTAATCATAGGCCTCATTGATATGAGCTTATGCAACTCAGTTTAATTATTATATTATTAAAATTAACCACAATGCCTTTTTCCGCTTAAAACTGAGGTGCATAAGCTCAGATCAATGACGCCTATGAGAAAACAAGTTGACAAAAAATGTAATCCAAAATTTGGTGATAATATAGCATAATGAGAGCTTTACAAGCAAATTTTAAAAGGCTGGTCATTTTGACCAGGTAAAGAATTTTAAGCATAGCACAAGGATTTTAAATAAGTGCTAATGAGGCAGGATGCCCTGGCTAATATGGGACATCTGCCAACCCCTAGAAGTAAAGAGTCAGGTTTCTTAGGTCAGAAATGTCAATGTTTTGTTGCATTTTACTTATTGATGAATCCTATAAAGTTTTAAAAGCATAGATTAGACGTTTAAGAATTCAGTAGTCATTCTCACCACACTTCCAGATGTGGAAAACGTACTCGGTTACTAACGTAACCTCGGTTCCCTGAGATATGGGAACGAGTACTGCGTTGCTTGCCGTGCTATGTAGCTGCACGACTCAGTCGTCGCTTCAGTCGAAGTAAACCTGAGAATCCTGAGGCGCGCGCCCGCTTATATAGCCAGATGCCCCGCCCATT